CTCCCTCTCTTTCTCCCCCATTTCTCTCGCTTTCCCATTTTCCGTTGACAGGCTCTCTGAATCTTTGACCACACAGCCTGGAAAAATAACACGGAGTCATGCTGCACGGCAAGTCTATCCCTGACCCTGATTCCCTCTCACCACATTTCCATCAGCAGCAAAGTTAAACACATCTAATCATTTCAATTTTCCCCCTCTGTTGCAGTATTATTAACATTGTTAATTTTCTGAGGGCTGCAGCCGGGAGGGGGGATGTCAAGGGAAATGCATTATGGCAAGATATTCCATTGATCCACCATTATACACACTTTCATAGTTGCTTTAATGGCCTAATGATACCAAGAAGCCAATTTGAAACCAATGTACAAAACAGAAGGCTATCCAACCCCCAAAAGAAAGATGTTTTAAAAACATTCTATACAGTGTCAACATCTGAAGCGTCTCTCTGCTTTGTGTCAGCAATGTTTGTGTGGCTGTTCTGCCTTTTTTTTTAAATTACCATGACGTTTGGCACAATCTAAGTGCTGATTCAAGACCTAAAGTGTTTGAAAGAAATTCAACATGTGTAACATTGTGGCATAAAACACAAACAGCAAGCCACTTTTGAGTCTGTATTTTAGGCTTTTGGCYTGATGTTTTATTGAAATAAATGAAACAAAACCTGGACCATATCAAGGAAACTTGTTCCTTGAGAATACACAATTATTTACAGTACTGTGTAAAAGTTTTAAACAACCCCTTTTGTTCACATTTATCTTTCTTGGAGTCCAACTTTCTTATAAAGTGGTCTTAATAAATGTCTCAGCAAACTCTCTGAAAGTCAGAAGGTTGTGGTTGTTTTTTTGTTTTGTTTTGTTTTTTTTTTGTTTTTTTTTGGGGGGGGGGCTGCTTTGTAATCCTTTTTCTGCCCAGCTCTTTACTCATGATACCATATTGTACAGTGTAAAGGCTAAAAGAAGTGTCTGAACTAAGAGGAGAATGCCCAGCATGAGACCTGAAAGATACCTAATTCTTCATTTGAACTTTATTCCAAGTTTTCAGCTAATGCTGCTTTAAGAATCACCTTGTGTGCAGCTACAATATTATCTGTTAAACTGTGTTTTTTAGAAATGCACTGAAAGGAGTGGAAACAAAACATATCTTTCTGACAGTAGCAACGTGTCTAAGGATCCCCATTTAAGCATGTTAAAGTTGTCTGTGTCCAAACAACACTGACACATTTCTTGAGTTTAGAAGCCTTTTTATGCTTGAATGGTTCATAAATCATAGTTAAGTGTCTTAACCATAAAAAAAGCATTCCTTTGAAAATGGTCAGCTTCAGAGAAGCCTCAGCTTCTTTGTGCCTGGCTCCTCTTCTTGCAGCTGATCTTTGCTGATGGAGTAAAACAATCAGTCAAATGTGGTAAGACCATTATCTACATGTTTACATATTCAAACTCACTGTTTTTACCTCCAGTATGTAATAAATTATGAATTGGCAGTTCATAGCTCACAGGTATTTGATGTATTATATCCATTTGATGCTTATAAGAGGCAGTTTTGCAACTGAAACAACACAACACTTCAGATACAACAGTATTTACATAAACAGCCCACCCAACACTCCAAACACTCCCAAAACCCTCAAGCCTGMACCACCTTTAGTTCCCCTAAATCTCTGCCACACGACGCAAAAAGCAGCAAATAGAGTAGAGAAAACTTTTTGATGAGGCTGTTAGGAGTGTAACACATTCTCTAATTATAGATCTCACTCGTGCTCCTTTGAAGACATCAGTAAATGGGAACACGTCAAAGATTTAGATTACGACAAATCTTATAAAACAAGTAAAAGCATCCCTTTCTAGACCACTTTCCAGCTTTTTCCCCCCTCCCCTGTCATTTCACTTGAATGTAAAGCATTAATGATTGCTAAAAAGTAAAGGAGCATTTCACTTAAAGACGCACATCAGTGACAGACCATAAGTCAAATGAGAGAGGAGGGAAATGCCTCAGAAAGTGTGAAAAGATTGCCACGTGTGAAGAGGGATGTAATGAGTCTGTGTGAGTAGATAGATAGATAGATAGATAGATAGATAGATAGATAGATAGATAGATAGATAGATAGATAGATAGATAGATAGATAGATAGATAGATAGANATAGATAGATAGATAGATAGATAGATAGATAGATAGATAGATAGATAGATAGATAGATAGATAGATAGATAGATAGATAGATAGATAGATGGTAGTGATGGGTGGTTGAGTAGCTAGATGAGTAGATGGGTAGATAAATAGATGGGTAGATGGTAGATTGATGGGTGGTTGGGTATAGATGGGTAGATAGATAAATAGATAGATGGGTAGATAGATTAATAACTGAGTTTAGATGGATAGTTGAGTAGATAGATGGCTATTTGGGCAGGTAGATGTGTAGATAGAAGGATAATCGGGTATAGATGGGTAGTTGAGTAGATAGATTGGTAGTTGGGTAGATAGATGGGTAGATAGAAGGATAACTGGGTACAGATGGATAGTTGAGTAGATAGATGTGTAGATACATAGATGGGTAGTTGGATATATGGGTAGATTGATGGATGGTTGGGTATAGATGGGTAGATAAATGAATGGGTAGTTGGGTAGTTAGGTAGAAAGATGGATAATTGGGTATAGATGGGCAGTTGGGTATAGATAGATGGGTAGATAGAAGGATAAYTGGGTATAGATGGATAGTTGAGTAGATAGGTGGGTAGTTGAGTAGATAGATGGGTAGATAAATAGACAGGTAGTTGGGTAGATGGGTAGATTGATGGATGGTTGGGTATAGATGGGTAGAAAACTAAATGAGTAGTTGGGTAGTTAGGTAGAAAGATGGATAATTGGGTATAGATGGGTAGTTGGGTAGATAGATTAGATTGATGGGTGGATGGGTATAGATGAGTAGATGAAAGTGTAGATATATGTGTAGATAGATGGGTATACAGTATAGGTACAAGCTGGCCCTAGTCTATTTAGCATTTTAGGTAAGATTTTAAATGGTGTCCTTTGTGCAATTTTCTAAATCTTACCGCCAATTTAAATATATTCACATTCCAGATTAAATAGTTTTGTCTTTGATATTATTTTCTATCTTTAGAAACTAAGTTGTCCAAATAAAATAGTTAACAATATACACCTCATTGTAACATAGCAGGTTAGGAAACCGACAGACCAAGTTACCTTAAAGCTGATTAACCATTGATTATGTTACAGACTAAATCAACTATACTTTAATGAAACGTTATGTAATTTTTTTCATCCCCCATTTGTGGCGCCCTAGTGCCCCTAGCATTCGACTTTACTGCACAGCTGGGCAGATAGATGGGTAGATAGATAGGTAGTTGGTAGATAGATGGGTAGATTGATGGGTAGATGTTCATTGCACACATCTGCCTTTGTTCTTTTCCTCACACCACTTCTGGAATAAAAAAATAAAGYGATGAAGGTCAGTCACAGAGCAGACTGCCAAATATAGCCGCTGTGTTCATGTGAGGGCCAGACTCTCCAGAACGACAAGCCCTGCTCTGACCATGCCCTGTAATTGAGGAGAAAATAAGGACAGAAATTATATGTTTATTTTTGACAACAATTTTAATCTTCTGTGCTCTCCTTCAGAAAATGAGACGCCTACAAAAAAAGGAAGAAGGAAAAGAAGGCTCTGAGAATTCTGTTGGAGATGTAAAATTGAGTTTTGAGTCTTTTTAACATCAAAGTAAATGAAAATCTAAAATAAGTACTATCTTTCATGTGAGAAACATGCCTCAAAAAAGGAGCCACACGTATGTGAGATATAAGTCCCTGCATCCCACGGCCTCTTATACCACCATACTTTTACTTAAGAAGGATAATGCTTGCATATTTTTGTAAATAAGTTCTGAAGAGCTTAAAATTTTTAAATTATAGAAGAAAACATTTGTTTTTGAAGTTCTGCTTTTTTTGTTGAAAATGCTCTTTGTGTTCTTTGGCATTGGTATTTTACTTTATAGACAAAATTAAATAAAATTAAATGTTGCTAAATATATATGTTCAGTTTTTGAGAATACTTCATAACAGTCCGAAAAAAGGAAACATAAACTCATAAAAAACTAAATTTAATTTGCCAAACCACAAAACCGTGAAATATTTTTATCTGAACAAAACAATTTGAGAAATACTTTGCTGTAGTGATAAATAAACTTTTTCTACTTTGCAATATGTTTTCTAATTTATTTATTTTTGCAAACTTGTCTTTTACCTTTAATTCTTTTTAAACAAACCTTGCACTGAAGGAAACAGTCATTTCCTCATCTTAACTGTTTGAGTTTTATTTTAATTGATGTGATAATCTCCTACTTATTTTATAGAATGACTTAATCCTTTTCTTCCTGCCTTGTCTCTGTAGTTTAGCCTCTTTTACCATTACACTAAAAAGGCCGTTAACTGCATTTAGGAGTATTGGAAACAGGGAGAGGTTTTGAACCAGAATAATAAAATCTCGGATATAGAAACCACAGTCTCGCTCAGCTTAATTTATTTTATTTATGTGGCCTGGGTTTTATGCTCCTTTGTTACTTTTGAAATCTCAAAGAGAGAAAAATGTTTTTTTAGCTTCATCTTTTTGTTAAACAAAAAAAAAGTGTAAAATAGTAAATAGGGGCTGTTTAAGTGTACATTTAATCTTTTATTATGACGAGTTTAATCTTTTACTTCATACTCTGATGACTTTAGTGGGGGAAAAAAACAAAGCAAAAAAACTGAAATAAGGTCCTGATAGTGACTGATGATGAGCTCATTCACTCCTATTGAAAAATGATTCAACACTCTCGTTTTAGGGGAGGTGGGATGTCCTTGTTTTAGCCACCAATCTCCATCCATTTTCCTCCATCTCTGGGTTTTTATTGCCTCTTAGCGAGTCTTCAAAGAGCCCACAGCCTATAATTAGGGGGGCGGGCCCCAAGTGCCTCAAAACGCTTCCCCGCGTTGGAGCCCGACTCCATCCGAAGTGTCCCAGGACTCCTAGCTGCTCCTCTCCTGCTCCCCTCCACTTCTTCTTTAAGGATTTTGTTTCTCAGGGATGGCCGCATCTGTTCTGGAGGTAGGGAATGTAATTGTAAGTAAACTTCTTTTAATTTCCCTACTTTTTAAATTCAAACTAAACGTCTTTTACAGGCATATTTCAGCTTAAGCATTTTAAGGTGAAATTGTGACAAAGTTTGAAGGTATTTGGCTAACAAACCTGAGTGAGTCTGTTTATTATAGGATTTTATATTAACAGGGAGATTAAAGTCAAAAGATTTCAGGCAAATTAAAACAATCTGGCAAAGTTTAAATGAGTGTGAAACTTAGCAACTCATTTTAATCTCTGAGATAATATTTCTCTGGAATTTTCAGACTTGTATATTTTTTAATTTGACACATAAGAACATTTGATTGTTCATTTAATGACCTTTTATTTCCTGTGGCCACAAGACGCTGTATATTGTCAGTGACTGCATATAATGAAAACAGAAGGTATTGATTAAATAGTGATGAAACAAAGCAGAACAAAACAAGTTACAGTCACAGGAATCACTTCTGAACTGGGATTAAAACGGCACAAAGGATTTAAATCTAGAAGATTTTTGGACTCGAACTGGAAAAAACACTTGTAGCATATTTATTTAAAGGGAGAGTATTTGAGTGCTGTATTTCATTGGTGCATTAATATTTTCCTAAACCTAATAAAATTGTGTAATTTATTAAACCTAACTTGTTAATTTTGTGCCAGTTTATAACAAAGAAAGTGTTGCCTAAATTTTCATCCAGCATTTTAATTTCTTGATAATTTATCCGAATGAGTATCTATAAATTTATTAGGCTTGCCGTTATAATAGAAACACAAGAAACATAAAATCTTAAAAACATAAAAATGATTAAAACACATAATTTTGCTGAACATTTTAAACTTTATGGAAACTATCAAATGCAGTGGCTTTCTTTTTATGATGGGTCCACATGAATGTAAATTTTTGTCACATTTTATATACTGTAAAAGCATTTATGATAAAAAAAAATCTGTATAAATGCGTAGAGAAATGTTTTAAGCATTGGTAAGTTAAATTTAGGAACAGCTACTTAATAATAATAATACAAGTTCAACAAAACTTAAGCAGCAGAACAAAATCCGCTGCTTGAAATGAGTCGGACATGTGTAAATGTAAAAGAGCAAGAAAAGCTAATGAAAGCAATCTGACATACAGTTTTATAAAAGTTGACATGTCCAGGAGCTGCAGCAGCAGCAAGCAGCCACTTCCTGCAGACAGACCTTCTCATTTCCCCTCTCGTCTTCTCCTCTCCAGGAAGACGCTCGCTATGGCTCCAGTCCTCTGGCTATGCTAACCGCTACCTGTAACAAATTTGGTAGCACCAGCCCCATCAGGGATTCAGCCACACCAGGTAAAACCGGCAGCTCACCGATAAAGAAGCAATACACCATGACCTCTGACCTTCAGACAGCGAAGAACGGGCGGACTGCAGATGGCAGTGGCCTGGCAGACTCCTACACTGGCTCTTTCACCACAGCCGGAGGTGGCGGTGGGCTGCTAACTCCCACTGGAAGCCCTCCTCCCTCTGCCGGAGGCTAYGCTTCAGAATACAACCCTTTCTCCCACTCCTTCCAGACCTCAGCCTCCCAGGACCCGTCTCTTTTAGTGTCCAAGAGCCACGCTACAGCTGACTGTCTCACCAGTGTCTATACCTCGCTGGATATGACACACCCTTACGGCTCCTGGTATAAGGCTGGAATCCACCCCGGTATAACTGCTGCTCCTGCTAATGCCACGTCCTCCTGGTGGGAYGTCCACTCCAACTCCAACTGGCTGTCAGCGTCTCAGCCCCAAGCCGACGGAGGTCTTCAGGCTTCTCTTCAGCCCGTAGCACCACAGGCATCTCTCAGCCCACAGCTGCCGAGTTACAGCTCTGACTTTACACAACTCAACCCGGCTCCTTACCCCTCTGTGGGACTGGGCTCCTCCTCACATCTCCTCCAGCCTACCCAACACATGCTGCCCCAGGACATGTACAAGCCCAAGCCTGTACCAAGCGCAGGGCTAATTGAGAATCCCATGGGCCTAAAGCCTGCTAGGGGATCAGGGGGCTACAGTGGAGGGGCTACGCCCAGCAGATCTTCATGTGACTGCCCCAACTGCCAAGAGCTGGAGAGGCTGGGAGCTTCAGCAGCAACCCTCAGGAAGAAACCGGTGCACAGCTGCCACATTCCAGGCTGTGGGAAAGTCTACGGCAAGGCCTCCCACCTGAAGGCCCACCTTCGCTGGCACACGGGCGAGCGGCCCTTTGTCTGCAACTGGCTGTTCTGCGGGAAACGTTTCACCCGCTCAGACGAACTGGAGAGGCACGTGCGCACCCACACGCGGGAGAAGAAGTTCACCTGCCTTCTGTGCAACAAACGCTTCACGCGCAGCGACCACCTCTCGAAGCACCAAAAGACCCACGCCGACTCCGCCATGCAGGGCAAAGCCGTGGGCGTGGAGGGAGACGCGGACCCTCGGAGCGACGAAACGGCGGAGCTCAACTCCGGCGCCATCGCCGCCAATCCCGTCGCCGACCAAATCACCAACGGAGACGAGAAGAGTGGAGCTCCCAATGGAGTGGAAAACAGCAGTGGATTGTTGGAAATCTGACTGCAATAAGTTCTCTAAGCAATACACCTTTGCCACGTTATAGTTTTTTTTAAAGAGAAAAACATACTTTTCACTTAAAACAGAAAATATATATATTTGTTGTCAAAGAACACAGACATGTTTGGAAAAGACTCGATATGTTGAAGTGATTACGTTTCAGGTAGCATTTCTTTAACCACACGCAAAGGAAAAAAAAAGTGCAAGCCTGCAAACTTACAAGCACAATTGTGCGCAGACAAATTCACACACACAGACCCACACAACCAACCACTCTAATGTATATTAACAGATGCATACGTGGACACATGTACAAAAATAACTATAGGCAAATGTGTAAGCATGCATAATGCATTCATGCGTTTCGAGGGTTAGCCACAAAAACATGCCTGTTCAGACACACATAAAAGTAAACTTTGTCATGTGAACGTAGTCTGCACACATTTTCTGCCTTTCAAATGAGACAAACCACTGGGGGGGTTGGGGGTTGTAATCTGCAAAAGCAGAAGGAAAAGAGCTCTGAGGCTGCAGAAGAAACTAGACTTATGTTGGGATGATGGAACTCGTAGCTTTCTGCTCAGAGAGAAATTWGATTTACAGCCATACTTTCATACATATTAATTATTATAAATGGACAATCTTACAGTTATTTGTTCTGAACTGCAGGTGTTGTATTACACTATGCTGTTTGCTTCTTTCTGTGTCTAATTTAATTTTATATTTACACAAATGCTCTAATTTAAGACTTAAATTATGTACGTGAAAGATTATCTTGCATCCTGCAGGAAATATTATACCTAAAGTAAAAAAAAAATGGTTAAAGCTGGCCAAAAAGGAAAAGAAAAACTCATAAATTAAAACTTTTTTTATTTATAAGTTATAAAGTTGAGTTTGGAAATTATGTTATGCTTTTAAAGTTTTATTTATAGATCTTGAGTATTAAGATGTGTTTTACCTAATTATGTATCATTTTTTGTTTAATTGTGAACATTTTTTACACCTGGCAAAGTAATAATTAATAAGGGCTTCCTACTTTTTGTATATACTATATAGTGATGACAGTATGAAGAATTTGTTAGGTGTGCTATTTTTCTACTTTTGATGTATTTTATTTTCTTTCTGTGTAACCTATCAGCCTGAAAAAAAGGTCTATTTTACTAACAAAAACATAATCATAAGGGCTCAACTTGTTAGTTTTAAATTTCTGTTATGTTTCCTGACTGTTGTGAAGAGAGTGTAAAAGATACTGTAAATAACATTGAAGCATGAAACCTCATAAGACTACACGTTGCTGTAAATGTTTGGCGCAGAATCGTCAAAAAAAATGATGGTGCTTTTAAGAGTAAAACAAATGTTTTTTTTTTCTGATTTTATTTTACAAAAGCATTCTGAGATGACAAATAAATGAATAAAACAAAAAAAGTATTTAGTCTGAGTTTCAATACATGCTTCATGCTGATTCCCGAACTTGTTGTTTTATTGTTTTTATCTTCCTACCTCAAGTAAATACTTTCATTATATTTTACGAAAACAAAGCTGCTCACTGAATTGGAGTCTTAAGTCAATGACCCCCTTTTAGAGAGCCTCTGTAGTTACACTCAAGACAATTACTCCACTCTCCAGCTTTGAGAGAGGTAATTACTGAGAGCGATGCTCCAGCAGAGTCAGGAGAAGAGGGGATCGGAACAAGAGAGCTGTGATGGGATTGTTTATTGARGGAGGAGTTCAAACAAAGGACCCCCAATTTAGACGTGGACGCGTGATGAAAAAGCAGATTTAGAGAAACAAATGTTTAAAAGCAACTTGGCTGACGATCACTGCTGTTTTTACAGATCAAACTGTCTTTTTGGTGGTGTTTTTGGGGTTTCAACAACTTTTAAAAAAATGCTATTTTTGCCACATTACTGTCAGGCTTTTCCAGACAAATAAAAATACCTGAGGCAGGACTTCCCACACTGCATTAAAAATCTAAATGCTTTAAAACAGGTTAAATGAACCATCTGAGAGTTCAGCAACTTTGATTTGTTAATTGGCGTCAAGTTGTTTTACAATATAATGAAAAAAACACTAAAAATGTGATCAAGTTTTTGCCACTTAGGAGAGAAAAATGTGATAAAGCAGCAACAGGGAAGCGAAACACAAACAACACAAGTGAAGAGGAGCCTGAGCCAGCTGGAACCCCCCTGAAGCTACTGGCTCTGCTGTTATAACATTTACACTTCCCAGCCTGCATGGTTCCAATTTAGGGCTTCTAATGAGCTGTAGTTGAGGTCAATTTATATAAAACGTCCCGGGGCCGACTTTGTCATCAGGGACCAATATGTTTATGGTGGTCTGAAGTGGGCGCACGGTTGAGTCCACAACATGAAAAGCAAACATCGGGAGGAGGGTTTGGGTAGGGTGTGTCAGACCAGCAAATGAGGGTGGGGGGGTTAAGAAGATGGTCAGTGGCTTTTTAAACCTCAGCTGCTACTGGTATTTTCAGCCTTTCAACTGTTTCTGCAGCAATGGTGGCATGCGCTGTAGCCTTGGCTTTATTTTTACTTCTTTTATTTAGAAAGCCAGGAAACATTAAGTGTTCCTTCAAACAAGGTCATAAAGAAAATATATACATCCACCGACACGTGGAGACAAAAGCAGAAACTGGGCAAATCAGTTCCATATGGTCTGCCCAGCCTCTCCATTCACACACACACACACACACAC